ATTTATTGTTTAGATGGGTGGACGAGCTCAGAGCCCACCTGGTGTTAGGTGGTTACTGGAGCCCATAGACATCTACGACGTAAATGCGCCACCCACCTTGAGATATAGTTCTAAGGTCTCAAGTATAGTTGTAACGGCTGCCCCACCCTTCAAACCGAAACGCATTACTGCTTCACGGCAGAAATAGGCAGGGCGGTGGTACCTACCCGCGCGGACTCACAAGAGGTCCTACCACCAGTAATTACGCAAATTATAATTTTGCTGGTTTGATTTTTATTACACGATGTTGTTCCTTCACCGTGGAAGTCAATCGTGAACATTTGTTGAATATGTATTTCATTAGAAAAATTGGTGAAAAATTGGTCTGGGACTCAAACACTGGTGCATCGCTCAACACGAATGCACTGGACGTCTTATCCTTTAGGCCACGACGACTTAGTACTGTTTAGTAAAAGAAGCTTCATTTATTATGGCAATTGTTATTCTCAAGAATACTCAAAGCTATAATAGGGCAATGCATCAAATTCCGAAAACTCTCATTGCTATTTAACGAACGACAATTTAATTCAATCATTTACATTTTTCAATAATTTCATGACAATGACTTGTTCTGTTTTGTTTTGACATGTCTTGGACAGCAATTAGTTACGGTTGTGGATACATAGAGAAGCTCATACAAATGTATCTGTTTATGAATGGCCTTTTGAGTTGCGGTCACAGTTTGTGTCACGGCTGTACTGACAGAGCACGCGAAGGCAACGCTCAGATCAATACGAACGTTAGCCATTCAATTGGAATGTAAATAACATAGTCCGGGAAATGTTTTCTGAACAATTCATTTGCCGTTTCGAAGATTGAGTATTATATTACGTTAATTCGAACGCTTTTAACCTATAAGTTATGTAGCCGGAATGCCGCAAGCGTGATCGAAAAACCGTATAAATTATCTGTCGATTATCAGAAGTTTTCTGCATTTTCAGTCATTTTCGGTTCGGCCAGTGAGATTGGGAGCGTATTTCAACATTTTCAACTCACTAAACTTCATTACCGTTTTACCGTGTCTCTAATGAAGACGTAGTGTGTTTCTTTCCTGATTCGTCCAGCTTTAAACACCTGGACTGTGTAATTAATTGCAAAGGGCGATTTTTATCGAACAGAATTTCTTACATTACACTAGACTTTAATGTTTAGCATCCTCATATATCGTTGCGTTAACACGATTGATTCCGGTCACCGTCCTCGTCGAACCCGTTGCTTGCTACGAAGGGCTCAACGAGCGAATTAACCCATAGACACAGCCCACTGAGTTTCTCGCCGGATCTTCTCAGTGGGTCGCGTTTCCGATCCGGCGGTAGATTCTGCGAAGCACTGCTCTTGCTAAGGTCAGTGTTAGCATCACTCCGATTTGAGCCCCGTGAGCTCACCTACTAGTTAAGGTTACGCTGAAATAGCCTCTCAAGGCTATCAGCTTAGGTAGGAGAAAAAACAAACGATTGAAACATTCAAGGATTGATGTAATCGAATATTGTCCATTTATTTATATCATGTGAAACTATATAGGTGTTGTCTAATTCAACATTTGAACTACTGCAATTATCCGTTATTTGTTGGCTAATTGTTTTTCTAATTGTCATTGTAGACGTGCACACGACGCATTTGTTGCTGAGTGGTCATGAGCATCTGCAATATCAGAGGAAAAACCACGCTGCTATATACTGACTAGCACCTCGCCTGTTCTTGATATATTATACAACAATAGAACAATGAATTTAACAGTTGTGTTGCCATGATGACCTACTGTGACCTTTCAATATATTAATTTAAACTAAATTATATTTAAATTACATTACACGGTATTACAAAAGTAATTTGTAACTATGCATTTCTTTACGTCAAGTTTACGGCGTAAAAGAAAAAATTGTACTGTATAATTATCTAGTGTTGTGAATTCCAGTTAGAAGAATTTTAATGTTGACCTTGAACTTTCTTGAGAATGTGTTCTCTGTGATCTTTGTTTAAGATAATATTGTTTGAAATGGTCACAATGTAAACACGTGAGTGCATGAGCACTAGCGGTATCATAGACGTCTCCAATTGTGAAATGTCCCAAACTCGAGACGTAATCATAAGTTTGAATTTTAAAATCATAATTTAATATGACAATGTATGTTATCGTGATATAATAAATTTGAAATAATCATAATCATAAATCATATATTTATCTTTTATTACCGGTTGTCTGGAAAAGATTGCTAAAGATAACGATACACAGCCAATTGTTCTGTTTCGTCTTATTTAATAATAATATTTTAAATAATTGAAGTTTAATAAGTCACTGAAAGACGTAAAAATCAAGACGCATCATAACCTTTATTCGGCTATGGAGAAAATTGTTTTGAACAAGATTTAGAGAGTAACTTTAATCCTTGTGACATTAAAGAAAAGTTAAAGAAATTAATTTATCGAACAGTGAAAATACTTATCTTCCGGTGAAAGATCTTTTTGTTTTAAGAGAGGTCACAGAGCTATGAAAATGTGAAACACATTTAGAATATAAAACGGAAATAGCGTGGGTCGACTGTGTCCCATTGAGAAAATCGTTTTGGATAAGATTCCGAAAATATCTTTGAATGCTATGACGTCAATGCTCTACAAAAGGGAAGGGCAGGTCTGTATTAAGACTATATACGTGGGATAACAGTACAAAAAAAATCAAATTTGACAATGACAAAAATATCAATCCAAAAAACTGCAATGCTGACGAGAAACATCAAACTACTTGTATTTTTACACTTATATTTATTATCTAAAGCGATATTATAGTACAATAATGTGCTTTTAAGCAGATGTTTGTCTGCTCGTATATGTAGTTTCTTTACACCGGCTAAACAAAATTCCACATGTTTTTCAGATGTATTTAGATGAGATTGGGTTAACATTTAGTCTTTGTTCCGTCGAATTAGATCGACGAATAAATACATTATTCGTATATTAAATTACAGGCTTATTTATTATTATTTTAAAAAATTGCGTACCTGCTTAAATGAGTGTAGCTATTAAGAGCGTAGGTTAAACAGATGCTCCGATCTATTTATTTACGTAGCACGGTTTTGGTGAAAACAATTTTTACACGAGAGGAAAGAAATAAACTTGATTTCGCTATTCGTGAAATAGTTTCAAGAGTTCAATAGCGATTCGGGAATTTAGTGGAATTTCTTCTAAGAAGAGATAGAAAGATCAGATACGGTTAGTCATACAAATTTTAACATCGAATATTTAAAGAACCGGAATGTGAGTAAGTATTTCAAAACGTAAATAATTTAATGATATGCTCAGATTTCATGTTTATATGGTTCAACAAGATGTGACAAAGTCATTAGCGTATTTTATTTTAAAGAAAACGAATAAATTTAAAAAGCTGTTCTTTAAAGGCATTCATTTATGAACAAACGTGCCTGATAAATTAAGTTAAAATTGTACTGACATTCTCACAATTTTATGAACATTGCAAACAAAACACTAGAAATTTCAGTACGTGTAAATAATTAGTGCCATCGATTTAGCCTCTAGCTGGAAACTGTAGAAGTCAAAGAACTCTGTAGGGCCAAAGGATCGATAGCAGACGAGACGGTACAATTTCTTACAATATACATTTCACAAATTATGATGTGTTTAAAAAAAATACCTAAACAAATTTTGTTAATTAAACAAATAATCGGGAACAAACCACACAGGATATTATGACCGCAAGATTCTCTACATCATGGAAACTAGACATTGAAACATACTCATTTACTTATGTATATTTATTCATGTACATTATTATATAAGCTGGGTGTTGTGTAAATTTCATAAGTAGGTACGCGAATTCTGGAAATTCTCTGCGTTTTTTTTTTAAATCATGACACGGAACTGACCTAAACAGACGATCGAGTCATGAACGCGTTTCTTTGAAACATCGATAAGTCATCAAAACCGTAACTTTCGTTTTCAACATCAGTACTTACTGTCTGTGGAATTCTAAGTAATATTTCTGTTAGTTTTAATTACGTAATACAATTATCTTTAGAAGAAGAAGAAGATTGATTACAAAACGAAAACCTTCATCTCTTCAAATCGTAATTGTTCTAAATGTGATTATAAATATTTATGTGATGACTAATTATGAGATGAAATAAGCTATTTTTTAATTATTGCTGGAAAATTTTCATAGCTCAAGTAAATGATAAAAACACAAACAATAATTATTATAATGACACGAATGACCGAGACCAATTGTCTGGTTTTAAATGTTTTAATTACATTAATGAAAAAGAAAGTGGATATATATTTTATGTTATTCAATCCGAAGTAGGTATTCATTTTATCTAAGGAGTTTTTTGTCGATATTCGTTCCCTCGCGCATGTTACACATGCAACTTTATCACTCAAATCGAAGCACCGATAACTCAGTCAAGTGATACAAAAATCGATAAGCAAATACATACTTCACATACAAACATCATATACATTCATAGAAAGAATTGATATGGACCATTATTATTGAATTTAATAAGCATTGGGCCAAAATAGCATAAAAATAAATAATCGTTGAAAAAGAAATAAGAAAAAATGACTTTATTGTAAAAAAGCGTGGGGTGCTTTCAGGATATTATCAAATTAACCCTTCTACTCATATCTGTTCATAAAATATTTATAACTCCTGATACCATGCACCCCACGCTTTTTATTATTTATCAAATTTATTAAAATTTATTTTCTATTTTTTAGTTGAATTTTCTATAAAAGCATATTTTGTTAGTTTTTTTAAACTATTATTTATTTTTCATTTTTTAGTTGAATTTCAATTGTTTTTTAAATATTGAATTGCCATCGATCCTTAACAGGTATACCAAATTTCGAGTTAATCCGACGTTTTGAAGGGGGTCAAAATCATGTTCAAAGATTCCGTTACATACTAACACACATATGTCTGAAGCGTATTAAAAATAGGCACCCACCTGATCTGGACTAAAAGAGCTGTCTCCGCTGGCGTTTCTTTCCTGGTTCTGTGCTGTCCTTTCTTGTTTGCAAGCCGTGTGGTACTCTAGCCTGGCGCGTTCAACCTTCTGAAGTAATTTCGACCATGGTTTCTGGGCCTTCTTGAATGCTTCGTCCATTTCCTTGCGTTCTTTTAGTTGAATCATTGACTGTGGACAAATGAACAAAAATATTACTATGTTATGTAATGTACAGATAACACATGTACCACCTGGTTTTAAGAGGTCATTACGGAAGCCCATTGATACAATATTGTCGCCGAAGTAGCAATTATTTTGTCAAAGACGGCTGAGATACCCTTTGACCGCGACGTATTATTTTAGAATTATAGAATTATATGCTGAGGTGCTTTGAGACAGAAATGGAATGATTATGTTTTTTTTTAATATTTTCCTGCCTAAGCTGATGGTCTAGAGAGACCATATCAGCGTCACCGGGCTGGTAGGTGAGCTCACGGGCCCAAACCTGACGATGTTGCTAATATGAACCCCAGCAAGAGCAGTGCTTCGCAGAACCTACCACCGCATCGGAAACGCGACCTACTGAGAAGATCCGGCGAATGAAACTACAACCAGATCGGAATCGTGAACGTGTATTAACACTAGAACAGAAGTAGCTTCGGATATATGAAGGTAATAAACATTCATAGCGGCGAAATAATTTAATTTTAAAATTGTAATAGTATTGAAATGCAAAAATATATCCATTATATAAAATTCGTGAACACGAACCGATCACGTTAACCGTGGAACGGCAGTATATACTTAGCACATTTCGCGAATTTCTAAACAAGATAAGACACGAATAATCTTGTTTGACTATACTTCAACGGCTAAGAACTTACACGACATTCCATATTCAAAATTCATTATTCCGACATTCCTTCGTTATCGAATGATCATTAAAATACTATGCAAAGCCCAAAAGAGGACTATGATTTGACCAGTGCTGGAGGGAAAGGAATGGAATCTAATGTGGAGATATACTCGACCAGGCCAAGGTACATCCGCGGCTGACAAGCTTTAAATGATGATAATGATGATGACATCATTAAATAACAGCATAAATATAACTGAAGAAAGACGAAGAACATAAATAAAATTACCTATAACATAATTTTTTTTTTGTTTTATTGCTTACATGCGTGGACGAGCTCACAGCCCACCTAGTGTTAAGTGGTTACTGGAGCCCATGGACATCTACAATATAAATGCGCCACCCACCTTGAGATATAAGTTCTAAGATCTCAGTATAGTTACAACGGCTGCCCCACCCTTCAAACCGAAATGCATTAATGCTTCACGGCAGAAGTAGGCAGGGCGGTGGTACCTACCCGCGCGGACTCACAAGAGGTCCTACCACCAGTAAAAATACCATTCATATATGTAGGTAATTAAATAAAGGTATGTGAAAGTAAATGTACATGGCATATAAAATGAACCAAATAATGTAAAGATATATCTAATTAAGTAACATGTAGTATTTTCTATATAGTTACCATATCAAAAGTATCAGTCGTCTTAGAAATAACACGTTCAAACAGTGTTTAACTTATAATGAGATTCCGATTGAATGATGTCGTTTGCATTGACGTAATATCTATAATACATGCCATGTCACGCCCGCTTGCTTCCCAAGTCATGCATGTTGACTTGTGCAATACTGCATAGTACCTACTATTCATTAGCAGTTTATCTTTAATAATGTGCAAGTTTTTATTCTCGATCTACAGTCCAGTCTAAATATAAGTAGTAGTGAAATCGTCAACTTTAAGAAAAAAATATGTATATATTTTAAATGCGATACGTAATTAATAAATTTGTCTACGTAAGATTAGAATTTATGATATGTGTGTGTGTAAGTAAATGAAGTAGCATAAACTTCTAAGTCGTTTTTAATGAATGGTCCAAAGTCGGAGTGTGTAAAAAGCTTTTTTTTATGGAAAAAATACACAACCAGAGATGATAATATAAATCCTGTATAATTAGAATTAAATCGGTACGTATGTTATTTCAGATCAGAAACTTTGTAATCCGAGAACGAGATACTCAATAACTCAAATTATCCTAATATTTTGTACGTTTAAAAATAAAACTTAATACATCATCGTGTAGTTGTCTCCGTCTAAAGAATAAAAAATGAGATACTTAATAAAAATGTTTTTATTAATATATTTTCCAACCAGTGGATATTGCCGCTTGTTTTTTATTTTTGTATTAGCACAAAACCGCTATATTAAAAAAAAAAAACAATAGAACATAAAATTCGTTTCTAAAAAAATTTAAATGGATATTAATATTTAAATTCAACTTACAATGCGTTTATATAAATAGTTTACGTTTAATTAAGCACGTACACCAACATTATCAATGATTATCCACAAAATAAAATAATTATAACAAATACTGTAGATACCGTATTACGGCATCGTATAGGAATTCAAGATATATTATTATACAGGGCACTAATGTTTTAAATTTTTTCGAATAATTTGAAATCCTTTACAATTGATTAAGAACAATTAAGATTGATCGTTATTAAAATTATAATTCAAACCATTACAATGGTAACACAAATAAACAAGAAGAGTTATATCTACATCCGGCGTCCCTCAACTCGAGCATAGCTGATGATTATACATATAATATTTTATTGGAAAAACTACAACGAAAACTAAGTAATATTATAATCACTGCCCTATGGATAATACTAAATCTAACTGCATCGGGATTAGACGTCTTAGCATCAGGAGCAGGCTTAGGGCCTCTGGTAACCGTACTCTTTGCCGAGTTCGACGTGAAACCTAACCCATACGTTAGCCCGCTGAATTTCTCGCCGAATCTTCTCAGCGGCTCGCCATTCCGATCGGGTAGTAGATTCATTTGCGAAGCAGCTGCCCTCGAGTTGTAAGGTCTTCTCCAGAAGCGCTCGGGTAGCTGTTAGCAAATACCCTACCTCCTGGCCTAGCCTTTGCTCTCCCACCTGTCCTAGGGAAAGGCCTTAGGGCCACCAGTAATCCTTCATTTATTAAAAAAAAACGAAAACTAATTTGACATAATTAAAACTACCTTTTACGGTGTAATCGCAGATTTACATCATCTTTTTATTATTTCTGACGTTTTGAATATTTCAGTTTTCATTATCACAGACTAATGTTTATTGATCGGTAAGGTATATTCGCCAATATTTTACAGCTCATTACGATGGGAGTTTTCAGAAAAAAAAGAAGCCTAATTTTAAGCCGTATTTACGAATCATCTCATCTCATAATAATTAAAAAATGTTTTCTAATAGATGCAGACGTCGAATTACAACAATGAAGTACATTGTTATAAAATGATAATGATATTATCAGGAAAAAACGCTCACGCGTTGTTTTAGTACCTAAGTAATAATAATATAAGTACGGTGATCTACGTTAAAGAGTTTCGATAACAGAGGACCGACGTTACATCACGATTATATTTATACAACGATACGTAGGTAATGAGACTAAAAGGTGGTTTACAAAAGATTTTAACAGTATAAAATCATGAAGTATTGTTTATGTAAGTACCAAAAAGGACGCTTCTTTAGAATTATATGCTGAGGTTCCCCTTACAAGCGACTTGGAGCTAGTCGTTGCCGTTGGCATTTTCTTAATGCCCTTGTAGACAGACGAGCGCATTATTAATAAGGACGCTTCTTTAGAATTATATGCTGAGGCTCCCCTTACAAGCGACTTGGAGCTAGTCGTTGCCGTTGGCATATTTTTAATGCCCTTGTAGACAGACGAGCTCATTATTTATAAGGATACTTCTTTAGAATTATATGCTGAGGCTCTCCTTACAAGCGACTTGGAGCTAGTCATTGCAGTTGGCATTTTCTTAATGCCCTTGTAGACAGACGAGCGCATTATTTATAAGGACGCTTCTTTAGAATTATATGCTGAGGCTCCCCTTACAAGCGACTTGGAGCTAGTCGTTGCAGTTGGCATATTTTTAATGCCCTTGTAGACAGACGAGCGCATTATTTATAAGGACGCTTCTTTAGAATTATATGCTGAGGCCCCCCTTACAAGCGACTTTAAGCTATTCGATGCCGTTGGCAATTTTTTAAATGCCCTTATAGACAGACAAGCGTACAACATACAAGTGATTACAATCGCTCATCGACGTCAGCAATGCCAGGGGAAGAGTCAAGCCAGTACCTACAGCTGGTATTAAAATTGTAGCCATGCTTCATGTTAAATGGGCCGCTTTTATTATTGTGCAAACCAGGTATTTTATGGTTCTGAGAGCTTTCGATACACAAGGATCTTCTTGTTCCTTCTCTGTTCTTGGAATTTGCTACTTCTCTTGAATTATTAGCTGAAACAGTTCGTATTATTTGATGATCAAACCTTCTAGCTACCATTTTATGTACGACATTTAAGCCTTAGTGCTCTTTGGCATTCAAGGCAGTTTTCGACCGATCGTTTGCAGATTCGCGAAAGCGGCACGCGTCACTTTTTAACCACAATGTTGTCATTCTAGTTTAGGCGTTTAGGTCGTAGCCGGGGTGCTTATTCCCAAGTAATCTTTGGACAACATAGCTTCTTATAACTAGATCAGCAGGTTTTCCTTGATTTAAAATTAGGTTCGCGTTGAAACAAGCTCTACAGGTTGTTAAAAAATACGGCAAGATCGTTTGCACATCCTTATATTGAATGATATTTTTCTCTTCTTCATTACTGATGTCATTGTATTGTCTCCGCATGAATTAATTCTAATTTCTACTGGTGGTAGGACCTCTTCTGAGTCCGCACGGGTAGGTACCACCGCCCTGCCTATTTCTGCCGTGAAGCAGTAATGCGTTTCGGTTTGAAGGGTGGGGCAGCCGTTGTAACTATACTTGAGACCTTAGAACTTATATCTCAAGGTGTGTGGCGCATTTACGTTGTAGATGTCTATGGGCTCCAGTAACCACTTAACACCAGGTGGGCTGTGAGCTCTTCCACACATATAAGCAAAAAAAAAAATCCTTGCAGTCACTCCTGCAAAGTTCTTTCTTCCTCTATCACCATTCTTCTTCAATTCTTGCAACATAATCGTGTCCATATATTCAATCCGTTTTTTTTCTGCGTCTTGTAACTTTGTAGGCTGCTGTCAATTGATAATTTCGATATATC